TTTTTTTTTTTTCTTTTTTTTTTTTGGTGGTTTCCTTGTTGAGACCTCAGGGGCTAAGAAAGTTGGCAGTAGGGTGAGCATCTTGAGGGTCACCAGGACGGGAGCGCCAGGCCCTGTAAGAGGGTGGCTTGGAGGAGCCCACAGGGAGCAGTCAGCAGAGCACAGCTGTAGTGGGCGGGGACACAGCTGTGTGCCCTTCACCCTGCTGGGCCTGGCCTGGCTGCTGTTTGGGGCCTGTTGCCACTTTCTTGTGTCCTGACCTTCCCCGTAACCCCAGGAGCACCTCTCACCTACCTGTCTTGTCTTCCAGAATATCCGGATTGAAACTGTGCTTCCTCCTGAGTTCTTTGAGGTGCTCTCGTCCTCCCAGAACGGGTCTTACCATCACGTCAGAGCCATAAAGAGGGGCCAGACGACCATCAACGCTGCCCTCACCTCTGTGGTGGACCAGGCACGGTGGCCCCGTCCTCGCCCGCCCCTTAGCCCTCAGCCCACGGAGGCGGACTCCACAGGGCAGGAGCCCCAGCCAGCTAGGATGGGACACTAGGCTGTCAGAGCACCTGCTCAGCCCTAGTTGAGCTGCCCTCACTCGTGCCCAGGGCTCCCCAGCCTCTGTGGACTCCCCCTGCATAGGAGGGCCTGGGAGATGTGGGCTCTGGGCTCTCCTGTTTAGACCCTGGGCTGGAGTGTCCCTTTTCCCCATCTCCCCTGTAAAAGTCAGCCAGCTCCTCCTAGGATTGGGGATAGGAACCCTTGTTTTGGGAAAGAAGGTGCTGATCTTGGGCCAGCAGTAGACCAGTGTGTCCAGCTCTGCCCTAACCAGGTGTCACCGGCGTCCCTTGGGCTGTTTGGGCTGCTGGGTCCTTCCAGTCCTTTTTTGGTATTTTAAAGGCTGATGAGCTTTAAACATGTTTTACTGATTGGAGAGTTGGCCCAGGATTTCCCATTTTCTACCCTGCGCAAAACCTCTCCCGGAGCTGTGAGAGGCATCCAGATGCAGCAGAAAAAAATAATCTTTGGACCAGACAGCAGATTTCTATCAAAGTCCACCACTTCATCTGTGGGGACTTTAGGCAAGTTGCCTTAGCTCTCTGAGTCTCAGTTTCTTCATCTGTAGAGCAGGGATAATCATGCTAACCCTGCCGGGGTGCTGGGAGGAGCTAGGCAGGCAATGTCTTCGTGAGTGGCTATCACAGACTGGTGGAGGGCTGTCCCTGGAGACCTAGCAGGCCACAGGGTATCTAGTGCCTACCTTTGCACCCTCCCACAGTCACAGCATCTTCCTCTGTGACCTGACCCCCAGGGAGAGCAGGGTCAGGTGACTGGGGAAGATGGTGCTGAGGAGCTGGTTGTCATGGTGACTTGGGTGCCTCACTCCCTTGTAGGACGGAGGGGTCCATATGTTACGGGTACCTGTGTGGAATCAGCAGGAAGTGGAAATTCTCATCCCCATCACCCTCTTCCCGAGCATCTTGACATTTCCATGGCAGCCAAAGACGGGTGCCTACCAGTATACAATACAGGTAACCTTGGGACTCCACCTCTGGGTTCTCTCCTGAGGGTATTCTGTGGGACTGGGGCTTTTTATGTACTCCATTCCTTCTAATATTACCTGCTTGTGGTCGAAGAGAATTTTATATCAGTGAGTCTTTACATTTTCACTGTTTTCTGTGGTGTCTATAATAGCAGTGGATTTTGGTAATTAGGCACAAAAAAAAAAAAAAAACAACTAAAAAAGAGATCAAAAAAGCTCAGTAAAGATGACCTGGAGCATAGATTTAACTTCCCCTTACTCTTCACATTTGTTTCTCTAAAAGATGCTGTTCTCTGAAAGCAGTACAAATACTCTTAGAGAAAAATGTGGACTTGAAGGGGCAGCGTCTCCAGCCCCCTCCCACACCGTATACTGTTTGTCTTTGGCATCCATGTTCCCCTGCACGTCAATCCAGATGTGCAGAAGCCCTGGGGCCCACACAGCCCCGCTGTCCCTTGCCTCCCTGGCAGGAACAACATCGCTTGCTATGTATCATGTCTTTGCACTGGCACTGCTATGTGTCACCTTCCTGGCTCCTCTAGGGGTCTGGGGTGGTGACCACTGATCTGGGAAGGACACAGGCTGTCGTGTACTTAATGGTAGATGACAAAGAGCAGGCACGGGGTGGGGACGAACGTGCTGGGAGGGAGCCTGTGTCTCTGGTTATGGGACAACTTGGACTTCATCCCACACCTGGCTCTCTGGCAGAGAATGTTTTCCACACCACCCTGAGCTCTGGGAGGTGCCACAAGGGTCTGAGGCCACTCTTGGGGTGTGTGTGTGTGTGTGAGTGTGTGTGAGTGCGAGTGTGTGAGTCACAAGGTCCGCAGAATATGGGAACCAGAAACTAAGCAGAGTGAAGAAAGGGAGGGGCCAAGAGGGCCTGCAGCCAGATGTTGGGCTAATGCCACAGTTCTCCATGGGGTGGGGAGGCACCAACCTTGTGATGTGTGTGTATACATGCGTGTGTGTGCACCTACATGTTTCTCCTGCCCTCTGTCTCCCTCACGCAGAGACCAGGACAGGCAGGCTGATCTGATGATGCTTTTCCTCCCCAGGCCCATGGTGGGAGTGGGAACTTCAGCTGGTCTTCATCAAGCTCTGTGGTTGCCACGGTCACTGTTAAGGGCGTGATGACCACGGGCAGTGACACTGGACTCAGCGTGATCCAGGCACGTGATGTGCAGAACCCGCTACATTTCGGCGAGATGAAGGTATGACCTCGGGCGGGGATAGCCCATGGTGGGAGCCTCGGAATGGTGGTTCTCTACCACTGCCTCTTAACCAACCTTCGACGCAATTCTAAACCCCCTTTTAGTGCTCAGTCTTATACTTGGTGGTGGTGGAGGCGTTGTCAGGCCCCAGCCCTGCCCTCAAGGAGCTTACCGCCTTATCAGAGAGATGACACAACACACCCAAGTATTAGGGTCCACCAGATGGGAATGGGCATGGAAAGGCATGCCAGCATAGCCTGAGTTTCTAGATGGGGACCATAGAATGCAAGAGGCACAAGATAATCAAAACAGTAATTACAGAAAATTTCCAGAATGGAGATACGGGTCTCCAGATTGGAAGAGCCACTGAGTGTTGGGTTGTAACTTCCCTTTCACAATGAAACAAAAGCCCCTAGACACCTTTCCCCTCATTTCTATTCAGATACTAAGTCAGGTGCCCCCTGCACCGGGTCCCTGTACCTGGCATTTGACCCTGAGTGATGCGGGACTAACTTGTGTAGCACTGGCAGCATGTGGGGGTGGCACCTGCAGCTGAGCCCCTGTGAGCCCCGCCTAGTGACCTCCTGACTCAACACCTACCTGACTCTGATCTCAACCCCTTCTAATACTTTACTTGGGGCAGAAGTTGAAGCCTCATAGTGCTTCCAATCACAGACTCCTCTTACATTATTTGGGCCATCGATGGACAGGTTATTCTAGTCTTTTTGTTGAGATAGACACGCATGTATCTTTATAAAGGACATGACTCTCATATAAAGAGGGATTTAACACAGACCCTTTAGATGCAGCATAATTGTCAAATACTTGGGAGAACTGTGGTCACCTTGCCCACCCCAAGCTTCCAGGCTTAGTGAACGTACAACCTGTCACCCTGTTGCTCTAGCTAAAGCCTGAGGACAGTTGCTCAAGACAGAGAACAGTGTAGTGGTTAGAACCTGAATTCTGGGCCATTCTGCTTGGGTCCACACAGATTCCACCACGTTGTAGCTTGGATGGGTTACTTAGCCTCTGAGTGCCAGGTTCTTCATCAGGCCAATGAGGTTGGCCTGCTTAACTAGCAGGCCGAGAGGGCTAGCTGAGTGAGTAATGTTCTGAGAACAAAGCCCAGAGTGTAGTAAGTTTTGTTATATGTTTAAGTATTTGCTATTGTTATTGTTGTTGATGCCTCTCTCTCACCCTCTACAGCCAATTTATCAGTAAATCCAATCAGCTGTACATTCAGAATATTTGTCTCAAATCTGACCAAATTCAACTCCCTTCAGTGATGCCACACTGGTTCAAGCCATCATCGTCTCTCCGGGATTTCCCAACAGCCAGAGTGAGGGGGACAACCAGAGGCTCCCCATCTTACCCAGCGTAAACTGGAATCCTTCCATGGCCACGGGGCCTGCATGAGCTTGCCCACCACCTCTCAGACCCCATCTCTTTCTGCTGTCCCCCTGCTCACTTCACTCCAGCCACACTATCCTTCTGTCTGTTCTTCTAATGTGCTGAGCTTGTACGTGCCTCAGGGCCTTTGCACAGACTGTTCCTTCTGCCTGGAATGTTTTCCCCTAGGCTTTTCTAGGCTGCCTCTTTCATGGGTCTTAGGTCTGAGCTCCTAGGCCACCTTCTCAGAGGGGCTCCCCCAACAGCTCTGTCTAAAGAGTCCTCGCCCCACTCCCTAGCATACACCAGCACCTCACCCAGCTCAGCATCAGACTGTTGAAAGGGCCATGAAGAAATGTGTAATAGGCATGAGGGATCACTCCATAAGGGCAGGGACTTTCTTGATAGCTATCTTTCTACCAGCGTGTCCTCGGTGCCCAGCACACAGCAGCTCTAGCAAACCCCACAGCTGACCCTTCCTCTCCCGTGGATGCTGATGCCCCGGTGCATGTCCTTTTCCCCAGGTGTATGTAATTGAGCCCAGCAACATGGAGTTCGCCCCGTGCCAGGTGGAGGCGCGAGTGGGCCAGACCCTGGAGCTGCCCCTGAGGATCAGTGGCCTCATGCCCGGCGGCGCGAATGAGGTGGTCACCCTGAGCGACTGTTCCCACTTCGACTTAGTGGTGGAGGTGGAGAGCCAGGGTGTGTTCCAGCCGCTCCCAGGTAAGCCAGTGCTGTCAGTGGGTGCCAGACAGTGGGATCTGGGGCCAGACTGCCTGAGTTCCCAACACTAGCTGCTCCAGAATCCTAAATAGAGGGCTTGAGGCAGCAGTGGGGGCCACCATGTGGCATTTGTCCTCTTGTCTGGTCTGACTGTTGCCATCTGTATGACCTTAGGCAAATGACTTGCCTCTCTGAGCCTCAGTTTCCACATCTATAAAATGGGTAGCCTAAATAGAATTGCATGTCAGAGGGGCTATTTCAATGCCTGGAAGGCGCTAGGTGCTCAGAAGTCACAGTTGATGGGGTTTCTGGCTAGTTATCGAATCATAACACCTTTGTAACCTGCAAAGACCAGCCCTCCAGAGCCACTGAAGCTGTAAGCGTTTAAATCTTTTCTCGTCAGCACCCCTGTGGGGTTTGGGAGGTGGTATTGGTGGTGACTGTAGCAGGGGCAGTTGGTTTATTGAGTCTCACCTCTGCCAGGTGCTGGGGTAAGCACTTGGCATGTGTGACCTCATCAGACTTTACAGTCACTGTAGGAGAAGGGACTGCTGTTTGTCCATGTGTCAGATGAGGGAACCTAGCTTGTGTGGCTTGCCTGGCAGCAGGGGTGCAGATGGGATGCAGATCCTGTGTTTCTGAGACTGACTCTGGGCCTTTAACCACACAGGGCAGGGTGGGGCGTCCGCTCTGATTTGCAGATGATGAAAAATGAAGGAGGATGATCCATGGAAGCTGAATAAGATTTGGGCAGTGGCTTAGAAGTAACAGAGAATGGCACAGAGGGCAGCCTGGCAAGGGCACGGAGGTGGACAGCTCTTTGGTGTGTGTCTGTGCGTGCATGGGGACTTGGAGTGGCAGAACTTATCAAATCCTGAGGAGCTTTAAGTGTCCGGGCAGTGGAGAGCCACTGAAGGTTATTGAGCAGAGGAGTGATGTGACCCAGGTAAGGTTTAGGAAGCTTAATTGGCAGAGGTGTGTGTAGCATTGCCTGCGGTGTTAACGGTTCTAATGCCGGCTGTAGTTGTAATTACTTACAGAGCTGCTTTAATTTGAAACTGCACAGAGGAAGAAGCCAGCATCTCTGAGATATCACTGAGCAAACCACATTCATGTCCTTCCCTGGAGGCACTACTGAGACTTGCCGAGCCGTGCAGGGAACCGAGCTTTATTAAATCTGAAGTGTCGTCAGCAAGGTAGCCATTTAGGATGGAGCAAACACCAGTGTATGGAGCGAGGGGTGCTGGCAGCAGGAGACGAGACAGCTCTCCCCTCACGGCCACCACTGCAGGGCCACCACATGTGTCCTCGAGGGGTGCCTGCTGGGGGTGCACATGACGCCTGGGTCAGCTTCCAGGGAGTCCCCAGGGAATAAAGTACAGGATCTGGAACTGAACAGTCCTGAGCTGAGCTCCGCTTCCTGCACTTATCTATCGGCTGTGTGATATCGAGCAAGTTGCGTAACCTCTCTGTGCCTCAGATGGTCCATCTGTAAAATGAACTCACAGCCCCAGCTTGTTGTGAGGGTTACACGTGAACACCACTCAGCACTGTGGAGGTGCACCACTCAAGGGGTTTGCGTTTGAAAGACAGTGGCCAGGGCAGGCAGAGGTCCTGTGGTGTCAGAATTCCCCTTAGGAAGCACCTTCAATTTCCCACTGTGCAGTGTATACCTGGCTTTGTGTAGGCTTGTGTTGAGGGCCCATGTTGTACGAAGAACACGTACCTTACAAACCTGGCTCCTAGTCAGGGTAGAGACGCTCACGTTCCAGGAATCCGTGGGCACCAGGCCAAGGTCAGCAGAGTCACGTCTCTGCTGTGACACCCCCATCCCTGGACACACACAGCTCAGGGTGCAAAGACAGGCAAGCTTGAGCACCCACGTGGGCTAAGCAGTCTCTCTCTTTCTGGCCAGCACGTGTTAAATAGCTTCCTGAGTTCAAGCCCACATGATGGGGCTCAGGTCACAGCCTTAGGAAGGGGCTGTGACCAGGCCTCTCAGCAGCCCCAGCCCCAGGCCTCACCGTCTTTTCTTCCTCAGTGTCCTCTGTCTGTTCAGGGCTCCACCCTCTTCCTACAGCACTCGAATGCCAGGGTCCCACATTGGTCTCGTCCTCCTCTTTGAAAGCCCCTTGGCTTGAGGGCAGTACTGTGAGCTTCTCTGTGGGTGCCCAGGGCTGGACGTCTGACCAGGCCCACAACCAAGTGGTAGACACACCTCTGCTTGTTCCATCTTGGCCCCTTCTCTGCTCCAGCCTCATCGGCAGGTTTTCAGCCCCCCTGTTCCCTGAGCACCTCTCCACGCCATGAGACACCAGGTCTCTCCATCACAGTGCTGTGGTCTAGCAAGATGGTGTCAGACCAGACAGGTGGACAGACACAGGTGTCATGGGGCCATAGAAGAGGTATCTAGTCCAGTTTGGGAGTGTCTGAGAAGGCTAAGGCCTGAGGCTAAGTCTGGGAGAAAAGAGGGGCAGAGTGTTCCGAGGAGAGGAGATGGTGTGCACAGAGGAGTGTGGCCTGATTGAAGTACCCCTGGTCAGTGCAGGTGAAGGCAGTGGGAGAGACGGAGAAGCAGTGGTTTAGGGCCGATGAAGGAGCCAGAGCTGGTGCCCAGAACCTGGCCTTGGGGGCCCGGCAGGTACATCTGCATACCAGCAGGCCCTGTGGGAGGGGTTGTGCACCAGGATGCGCCTCTGCAGTGAGGGGCCCAGGTTTTGCCTTCTTAGGACTCCCGTTGTTCGGCACCTCTTCTCAGCTGTGCAGAGGTCACCTTTCAGAAAAGTGATTGCCAGACTGTGTGCCCAGCTGGAAGCCAGCAGGGTCCAGACTATGGCCTCTCGTGCCCCTACTCCTTTTGCCTGTGTAATTGTGCACACCAAGAGACCCATTTTGCAGAGTTGCTGCTCATGGGTTTTCAGGAGCTCGTAGCTCTTCCCGTGGCCACTGTACCCCGCCCCCTCCTGGTGGTGGAGGGACTTCTGCCTGTGGCTGCCACAGCAGTGACCACTGACAGGGCAGCATGCATTGAAATGTGTCCTGAGTAAGTCAGAGTGTGGGGAAGACTTGTGCACAAATGTTCATAGCAGCTGTTCATCTGGAAAACAACCAGAAGGCCATCAGCTGGTGAAGGGATAAACAAACTGGAACAATCATGCTGTGGAACACTACTGATCCATGCAGCGACGTTGATGGGTTTCAGACGCGTGCTGAGTGAACAAAGGCAGACCCAAAGCTGTTTCTGTGGGGTGTTAGGCAGAACTGAACTATGGTGGACAGAAAGTCAATTAGTGGTGGCCAGGGCCTGGGGGAGGCAGGAAGGGGAAATGATGGCTCATGGGAAGGGGATTTCTTTCTGGGGTGATGAAATGTTCTAAGGTTAGATAGTTGTGGTGGTCGCACAACTCTGTGAATATACTAGAAACTCCTGAATTGTACACTTTAAATGGGTAGATTTTGTGGTATGTGAATTATATTTCTATAGAGCTATTATAAAAACCAGAGCCCTGGTGGCGCACTGTTTAAGAGCTCGGCTGCTATCCAAAAGGTCAGCAGTTCAAATCCACCAGCTGCTCCTTGGAAACCCTATGGGGCAGTTGCATTCTGTCCTATAGGGTCGCCATGAGTCAAAATCGACCTGACAGCAGTGGGTTTGGTTTTTTTGGTTTTATTATAAAGACCTAATGTATGGTGGAATAAAATTGGAATGGACCAGTGATTGCCTCTGGGGGTGGGGGTGGGGATTGACTGGGAAGGAGCATGAGGGAACTTTCCAGGAAGATGGTCATGTTCTGTATCTGGAAGTGGGTCTGAGTTCCACAGGTGTCTGCGTGTGTCAGAACTGGCGGAGTAGTCCACTTAAGATTTGTGCATTTCACCGTGTATAAATCTGATCTTAAAAGAGCCATAAACAAATACTGAATACATATGCTAAAGTATTTAGGGATGAAGTGTACTCATGTCTGCAAATTATATTCAAATGCATAAAGAATAAGCTGGAAGGATGGGTGGTTAAAGGGTTGGGGTAGATACACAATAAGGCAAATATAGAAAAATGTTAATTGTAGAACCTAGGTGATGGGCATATGGGCATTCAACTTTTCTGTACATTTGAAAATTTTCAGATAAAATTTTGCAGAAGAAAACACGAAGAAATAGCGCAACACATCCACCAGAATGGCTTTTTAAAAAAAGTGGAAAATACCAAGTATTGGCAAGGATGTAGAGAAGCATTATAAATTGAAACAACCATTTTGGGAAGAACATTTGGCAATAACTGATATAGCTGAACATATGCATTCCCTGTGACCCAGCAGTTCCATTCCTAGGTATACACCCAACAGAAATGCCTGAGTGTGTTCATCAAAAGAAACACGCAAAAATGTTCATAGCAGCAATATATGTCGTAGCCCCAAACGGGCAACCACCCAGATGTTTAGCAGTAGTAGCGTGGATAAATCTGTTGTACATTTGCACAATGGAATATATGCAGAAATGCAGGTAGAATAAGGAGGAATCTCACAGACAATATTAAGTGGAAGAAGCCAGATACGAAAGAGTTTATACTCAGTGATTTCATTTATATAAACTCAGAAATGACAAAACTAAGCTTGCTATTGGAAGTCAGACTGGCATGGTCCTACGGGGGTAATCACTGGAAGGGTCTACAGAGATTTAAGGGGCTGGTCATATTCTGTTTCTTGAGCCAGGTCCTGGATACACAGGTTGTTGAGTTTGTGAAAAAAATCATTGTGAGTTGTATGCTTCTGATATGTGTACTTTTGGGTATGTGCATTCTGCTTAAATTGTTAAAAAATTAAAGTTAAAAAATATGATTGTGTATGGCATCCAGGATGGGAGAGGGGCTCTCGGCCCCTGTGTCGTTCTCCCATAGAGGAGAGGTGTGGTGGCCATTTGGTTGTCTCTCCTTCTTTCAGGGAGGCTCCAGCCAGGGTCTGAGCACTGCAGTGGCGTCAGGGTGCGAGCTGAGACCCAGGGCTACACCACGCTCCTCGTGAGCTACAAGCACGGCCACATCCACCTGAGTGCCAGGATCACCATTGCTGCCTACCTGCCCCTCAAGGTGAGCTCTTCCCCATCCGCCCTGCCTACCCCTTCTCTGACATAAGTCATTCAGTTGCTCTAATTCATATTCAAACCCTGATTGTTCAGAATAGCTCTTGGAACAGCTGCCTCTCCCTGTGGTTTTCTGGCACAAGTCAGGAATGTGTATGGAAAGGGAGAGAGCATTGGCTTAGTTTCCCTGCATCTCTCCCGACCACGGGCCGTGACTGCTGACATCAGCGGCAGAGAGCTCTCCCTGATGACAAGGAGTATGGGCTCTGCCAGCCGAAGAAATGCTCCCAGAAGGGTGCTTCTGGTGAAATCTCGAGTTTCTGCAGCTCCCCTTCGGATCCTAGAATGGGAACAAGAGCCCTGGGTGTCGTGCATACTCTGGGGCCTCGGAGGCCTGGCTTGGACCTGGATTCTGCCCTTGCACGACATTGGGAGATTGCTTCATGTTCTGAGTCTCTGTTCCCATCTGTGGAGGGAGGTGGTCATGGCATCATGGCCTTTGTGGTTTAGAGCATACTACCTTTGCTCTGACAGCAGACTCTTTCGTTTAAATCAGGCCTGACAATCACCAACTGTGTGACTCTGGCTAATGTACTCTCTTTATGCCTCGGTTTCCCTATCTGTAAAATAGGGCTGATGCCACACCTGCCTCAGGGTTGGGATGATGATTAGATGAGCAAATGAATGAGAGGGGCTTGGAAGAGTGCCTGGTATGTAGTGAGTGCCCAATAAAAGCTAGCTATTAAAACATGAACAACAAAAGAACTCCACCTAGCACACGGTAACATTCAGTAGGGCGGTGGATGTAACTCTGATTTACTGTGTTTGGACCCTTTGTTTGTCCGGGCAGCTGGTCACTCCTTGTATTTCCATAGCACCTGGGGTCCACCTCTAGGACAGCTCTCACCCCCTTATTTTGTCTCTATGTTTTTTCCCTGTCACTGTTGCCCATTAGAGGCAAACCCAGTGATGTTAGGATCTTCATCTCTGAATCCCTAGCCCTGGGCATAGGGCCTGATATAGAGTAGACACCAATCAAGAGTTGTCTGTTTTAGAGTGAATGAGTGAGGAAATGTCCAGGATTACCTAGCCAGATCTGAGAGCTGGGTCTCCTGACTACCAGACCAAAAATAGCAGACACTTGTAGATATCTACCAGGTACAGATTGCCCACCCCTCCTTCTTTGCCTTCATCCATTTATTCAACCAGTCTTGGTGAGTGCCTTCTATATGTTAGTCCCCGTTCAAGGCCCTAGAGATACAATAGTGCAAAAATAGAACCTCACCCTAGTGCGCTGACGTTCTAGCAGAGAGAAAGGTAGAGAGAGACAGTAAACAAACCAAATAAATGACGTATTTGGTGTGTATCTGTGCCATGGCATGGGTAAATTCAAGTGTAAGAGGGTGATAGGGCAGGGGAAGGGAGGGTGGCAATTTAAAGTTAGGTCAGGATCCCTTTAATGAACAGGGCACTGGAGGAAGTAAGAAGGGTTGGGGAGCAAAGTTCAAGAGAATTGAAATCCCTAAGATGGCAGTAATCATTCTTGGAACACCATGTCACTGCCTTCCACAAGCTGGGGCAGTCCACCAGGAGCCTAGGGAGGCGCTCCGAGGCCTTCTCTTATATTTGCTCCGGATGACCAGATGGCCCAATAGTCTGGGTATCTGGCCAGAGTAGCAGAGGCCAATGACTGAGCTCAGTGTCCCAAGCTGAGATATAAGGGTGAAGATAAGGTGGACATGTCCCCAATCAAGGTGGCTTCCTGATTGGAGTAATTATATAAAGAGAGAAAGATGGATATGGAGCTCTTCTTTCATCTTCCTCTCTTGCCTTAGTATCAGCCAACATCAGGTTTATTTGCAAGCAACAAAACCCAAAATGACAATGGCTTATACAGTAGAGAAGTTTATTTCTCTTTCATATGAGAGGTCCTGAGATGGGCAGTATAGGGCTAGTGTAGCAGCTCCATAGTCATCATTGAGCCAGGTTTCTGTCTTTCCATGCATCATCCTCAGTGTTTTCACCTGCAAGGTTGCCTCATTGTTCAGAATGGCTGCTGGAGTTCCAGTCATCACATCCAAATAACAGGAAGGGCAAAGAGGCTCACCTCTCAGTGAATTAGTTCCCTGACCTTTGCCAGCTGCTTTCTGCTGCATGAGAATAGCCTCCTCCTAACCTAGTATTCAAAACCCCAAGAGTGATCTGACTCCAGCAGGACAATTTCCATCTGCATCTCATTGGCTGGAACTTTGTCCGTTGGCCACACCTAATTGCAAGAAAGCCTAGGGAATATTTTAACTGGATAAAATAGGGGTTCTTTCCCTAAGGAAGAAGGGGAGTGTGGAAACTGGGAAGGCAGCTAACAGTCATTGCTACAACCCATGTTTGTTGGCTGGTTCATCAGTTCACTCTGCAGATAGTCACTGGTCACTTGGTTGGTGTGAGGCCCAGGCCTGGGAGGCAGGGTCTGGGGAGAAATCCCAGTCTGTGTCCTGGGAGGCCACTGGTCTATGGAGACAGAAGACACTTGGACAATTGCAGGGGGCATAGTAGAGGTAATGACAAGTTTCGGGGGGACAAGAAACAGAGAGCTGCCTGGAGAAGCAGCCTGAAGACAGGAAGTGTGGCATGTGGGGAGCTAACTGAAATGTGGTGCATTTGGGGTGAAATACACGGCTGGGAGGGTCTTTGGTGTCAGTGCATTCTTGGGGTTTTGAATGCTGGCTTAGGAGTTGGATATTCTTATGTAGTGGAGGGCGGCTGGTGAAGGTCGGGTAGCGACAACAGCAGACCCACTTATAAGAGCACTGTAGCTAGCAGGAACGTGGGTAGTCGTGTCTTGAAAGCACAATATTAAGTACAGCCTATCCATCCCTGGAGCCCTGGTGCCACAGTGGTTAAGAGCTATGGCGAACTATGGCTGCTAACCAAAAGGTCAGCAGTTCGAATCCACCAGCTGCTCGTTGGAAACTCTGGGGCAGTTCTGTTCTGTCCCATAGGGTTGCTATGAGTCAGAATCAACTCAATGGCAGCAGGAACCCATCACTAGAAAAAAGCCATGCTCCAGCTCTTGTGGGAACTGCTCTCCCCAACTCCCCCCCGCCTTATACCTAACCTCCTCCATCTGATTGGCCCACGGTGATTCTACCATGACTTGGTCTCATGTGTGCCCGTGACCTGACTCCTCTGCAGTCAGCCCCCAATTACTCTTTAGCCCTTGTCTGCTGCAGGGGTCTAAAGTGCCCTTGTCCCTCTGAAGCTTACTCTTGGGGAGCCTCTATGTGCCTGGGTCTGGGGGACTCCACCAGGCTTCTTGATTCTGGTGGTCAAGTAGACCATGCACGTGGATGCTGGAGGCTCCGAGCCAGCCAGGTGCGGGCGGAGCCTTGGCCACCACTTCCCAGCCCCCTCTAGGGTGAAGAGACGTGCAGACTCTGTTTCCTAGATGTGCCAGGGCCGAGGGCCTCTCAGGTGATCCAACCCACCTTCTTTTTTGCAAACCAGGAAACAGGCCCAGAGAGGTGCATGGTGCCCTCGTGCTATGTCTTTGCCTGTTTGAGTGTTTGCGCTTTAACACACCCAGCGGGGCCTGTGCAGTTTGTGAAGGTCCTTCGTTGGCTATGCTGACGACTAACCTGCCTCCTTGGCACAGCGCTCTGTGATGCTTTTATGCCTGAGCGGTAAGGAGATTAAGTGTGGCGGTGATGATTCATAGCTCTCCGCTTGTTAACTATAGGGCATGCCGGTGTCTTTGCACAATCATTTCCCTTCAGGCTGGTCATGAAGATGATCTCTAGCAAGGTTTATAGTGACCTGCTTTGCCCATAGTGCAGTTTTACTGGTGGTGACAAGACGTGGGTAAAAGCAGAGGATTTATAGTCAGAACACACCCAGACCCACCAGCTGGGTGAACATACTTGGAATGAGTCCTTTACCACAGCCCCTAAGGATGGCCCTTGTCCGTGCAGGAGGCCCTGGGGCACGTTACGTAAGCTGCAGCGTCCCTCAGTACATCACTGCCAGAGGCCTGAGAGCAAACGAGAGCCTTTTTAAAAAGATATTTTCATCTACTCACTCTTTACTTTCAGTACTTAATAATAATTGCGTTTGCCAATTCACTGCTTTATTCAACAAATAATTATTGAGCACCTACTATATGCTAGACACTGTTCTAGGTGCTAGGGACAAAATGGGCACAAAGGCCTGTCTCAGGGAGCTCAGACATACATTGCAAAAGTATGAAAACATAGCAGAGTAAAAGGAAAGGAGAAAGAAACCACTAGTAATTATGCCACCTAAGACACCACAGTCTGCATTTCACAAGGTCATCTGGTGTATTTCTTTCTAGGATTCTTTAATGTATTTTTAGGAAAGTAGGGTTGTGATCAAACTACACACCCAGTTGTGCGTACTGCACATGCAGCTCTTTGCAAATATTGCTTTAGGGACCTGCAGAACGTTCCATGGTACAGATATACCATGTTTACTTCTTGTTGTAAATCTTGGTTGGCTACTGGTTATTGGCTATAATAAATAATAGTGTGATGAACATCTTTGTGGATAAACTTTTTTCTTCTTCCTATTTTGTTGTTAGGTTAGATTCCAGGTGGGGACTTCCTAGGTTTAAAGATTGGAGGTATTATCAAGGCTTTTACCAGATTGTTTTAAAAAAGGGAAAATCAATTTATACCCCCAGCAGTGTATCAAAGAACAAGGATTTAATTCTTCTTCAAAGCACTGTTACATCCCTTGTTCATCTGGATCTTCACAAAAACCCTGTGAGTGTTGCAGATGAGGAAACCGAGTTTCAAAGAGGGGACGTAGCTTGTGAGAGCAAAGCAACTGCAGGAGTGAGGACCTGGCTGCCTGGACCCCAGTCCCTGCCCCAGCCTCTCCCAGAACAGTACTGAGTCCTCTCCCTTTTCCATCTGCAGGCTGTGGATCCCTCCTCTGTTGCCTTGGTAACCCTGGGCTCCTCAAAGGAAATGCTGTTTGAGGGGGGTCCCAGACCCTGGGTCCTCGAGCCTTCTAAGTTCTTCCGGAACGTCACCTCCGAGGACATGGACAGCATCATCCTGGCTCTCTTTGGACCTCCTGCCTCCCGGAATTACCAGCAACACTGGATCCTTGTGACCTGTCGGGCCTTGGGCGAACAGGTGAGAGGGCAGGCACCCCAGACTCAGCTTGTCCAGAGGGGGAGGGATGGAAAATCATATTCCCTGAGTGCCCTCCTGGCCTCACAGCAAATTTTACTTAATCTCCAAAGTAACACTGAGAGATAGCTGTTCCTCTTGTACCCATTTCACAGATAGGCAAACTAAGACTCAGTAAAGTGGAAAGCCTGCGGATCAGTGAGGGAATTGCCTTGTCCTGCCTCATTGTCAGGAATGGTGAGGGACTTCTTGACCAGCCTGCCTATTTGGTTCTACAGAAAGTGTGCCATTGGAGGAGGCCTAGGTGCTCCCTCAGAATGGTCCATTAGCTGTCTTCCTTTGGCTCTAAAAGCAAGCATAAATCTCTCTCCTTTTTCTTGCATCTCTAATTTCCATCTCTGCGGCAGCAAATCAAACTCCTCTCGGAGAGACAGAAAGCAAGCAGGGAGGCCGGGGGCTCCAGCACCTCCTTGTGGACCTTCCCCCATCACCTCCTTTCTGTCCTGTTCCCTGTGGATCTCAGCCCATCTTTCTGTAGCACACACCTTCTCAATCTGCACCTTGATTTTATGAATATTTTCAAGTCAGCATGGATTCCTTGTTTAAAAACCCACAAACTCATGAATTTACTATTGCAGCCTTGAAATTTTTGTAGTGACGGGTCCTAGGAAACCACGAAGTGTTACCCGGAACAAGCAGAGACAGTGGTTCTGGCTAAGGTTTAGAGGGGGCACTTAGGGCTTCCGCCTGAAAGTCTCTTGAACACTGAGAAAGTACTTTACCACGGATGATGTCGTTGGATCTTTGTAACCCCCTTGGGATGTAGCTATCATCAGCACTCCCGTTTCACAGATGAGAAAACTGAGTCTGAGGGAGCTTGGGTGGCATGGCTGAGCTCCAAGGGGAGCAAGCACTCACACTCAGGTGTGTCTGGCTGCATCTTTTGCTCCGCCCAGGTCATTGCCCTCTCGGTGGGGAACAAGGTCAGCATCACCAACCCTTTCCCGGCGGTGGAGCCTGCTGTGGTGAAGTTCGTCTGTGCCCCGCCATCCAGGCTCACCCTCATGCCTGTCTACGCCAGTCCGCAGCTGGACCTGTCCTGCCCACTGCTGCAGCAGAACAAGCAGGTGGTGAGTGCAGGCAGGTTCTCGGGGGCAGGGCAGGATTGCCGCTTGGTGGGGAAGAGGACTCAGCTGCAATAGCTAGAGACTGAGGCCACCTTTACCTCCTAACCTGCACAACCAACCGGTGGGCCGTTCCACTTAAGTTATGCCTGGGGGGGGTGGCGGGGGGAAGAGGTGAGATGATTCACCAAAGCACAGCTATTCGTGGCAGCACCAGGTGAAAATAGAGTCCCCTCCAATTTCATAGTCCACTGACCTTCCTGCCTCCTTGTGCTTGGCACTCAGTAGTTTGTAACAACCTCGTTGTTTTCTTCTGTACCTCAAGGATGTTGGTGGGGGGGTGGGCATTTTTCTGTGGACAGTGTGTGTGTGTGGTCGGAGCCAAGGTGGGTGGCCAAGGAGGGGTGGCCGGTGCGGCTTTCTCCATGATACGGGTGGGAATGGGGCTGTGTTTTAAAAGTGAGTGTGGGGAGGGAGAGAAAGTCATTTAGGGGTCATGCTAACAGCAGGGATGTCAAGTGAAACCCACAGGTCTGGTGCCCCTGGACTTCTGGCCAGTCCCACCCTTAATCCCTCGGTCATTCAGCATCCCAGAGACCAGGGTGCTGAACATAAAAAGGACAGCATTTTCACCGAGGCCCTCCTGTTCAGGTTCAGGATATGGAACACCCTTCTAGCTGGCCCTAGCCCCCAGCACCTTCTACAGACAGCAGGCTTCTCCTCACTCGTTCATTCAGTATATACTTATACATCCCCTGCTCTATGCCAGGCACCATTCTAGACTCTGGGAGTGCAGTACAGCAGTAATCAGGATGGGGAGGAACCTGCCTCAGGGAGCTGACAAGAAGATTAGGTGGTACACAAATACACAAGACTATCAGAGTTGGAAAGGGCTGTGAAGGAAGTAAAATAGAGACAAGATAAACGACTAGAAGAGGCCACTTGATGTGGAATTAGGAAAGGGCTTCTCTGAGGAGGACATGGACACATTTAGGCCCACATGGTGAGGAGATGCCGGTTGAGAAGAGCTGAGGTGAGGGTGCCCCAGGCAGGAAGAACAGCAAGTGCAAAGGCCCTGAGGTGAGACCAGGGTCTCTGGTGTTCCTACTGCCTACACAATAATCAAAATAGCCTTGCAGGCCAGAAACTTTAACAAACTGTGCCTTGTTCCATGCTTACCATGACCATCTTCAAGGCAAGGGTTATTGCATCCACTTCATGGTTCTGCAGACTGTGACTTGGAGGTGAAGTGACGTGCTCAGACCCACAAAGGCATTACCTCAGTCTGTCCAGCTCCAGATTCAGAGCCTTCTCAGTGGCCACCACAGCAGCTTCTCTTCTCCCAGCTGACTTTTTGGTTATCAGCCGAATTCTTAACCACTGCGCCACCAGAGCTCCCTTGGAAATCCTATGGGGCATTTCTACTCTGTCCTGTAGGGTTGCTGTGAGTTGGAATCAACTTGATGGCAGTGGGTTTGGTTTTTGGTTTTGTCTCTCTTGACTAAAAGATGTAGTCTGGCTGTAGAGCATGGCTCTGAATTGGTTTGCGTGGGTCTTAGATCTCTCCAGGAAATAATGGGCCTTGCACGCAGAGTTGCCTTGTGATCCATCAGTGCTCGGGGTCAGGAGCCGTGAACTGCTCAGGCATGGCCCCAGCGATTTATGGTCTCATTAGGGAACCTTGAGAAAGATATATCCCTGCGATCCATCCTGGGCACAGTTTCAATTTTAATTTTACACCTCTCCACATCCAGAGGCCACCCAAGCAGTGTTTGCAGAATAAATTATTGGTGAAGCAAGACAGCAGAACTATAAGACCTGATGAGAGAGTTTTCTGACAAAGTGGAATCAGACTCCAGCTGGACCCAAGCCTCCTGGGGCAGGCTGTCCGCGTTCATCTCACTGTCGCTGAACACCTGTGGCCAGGAGACTGATCAGCCAGGGATTTGATGGAGCCGCTGCCCGCCTCCTGCCCTGGGGAGGGCTGCACAATGCCAGGGGGCCATGGGCCTTCAGATCAGACCAGCCGAGCTCCTCCCCTAAACCGGGGTGATTTTGTGCGAATTGCTAATGTCTCTGAGCCTCAGTCTCCCCATTGGTAAAATGAGGAGAAGGTGGTCGCCTCAGATGGCCACAAGGACCAGTAAGGTTGTGAGCGTGCTTCTTCACAGTGTTAATGCCCTTCCCTGGGGTAGCAGGGGAAGGGAAGAACACTGGTTTTCCACCCGGGCTTGCACCTAGAAGAAGGAGTGTAGCATCTAGAGTATGTTCCTTGTGGTCTCTGCCCATGGTCGTATCTTCCCAACTCACATCAAGAATAATTGTAAAAGCCTTTGTCTCCCCAGGTGGTTGTGCCTACCTGGTGTTAGGAAGATGTGCATTTAGGATTTGCAGTGTTTTAATCAAGTGCTCTTTGGGTATTTGGCACCAGAGTTGGGGGCAGGAGAGCTAGAGAGACTAGGGGAAGAGTTTCTGTGGTGAAGGTGGGGAGGCTGGTGGCTGTATCAGCCAGGACAGCCGAGGCTTGACTCAGAGGCTTAATGCCCTCAGGTTCATTTCTAGCTCATGCTGCATGTCTGTCATGGTATGGCTGGGAGATCCTGCAGTGTGCCATTGTTGTCTTCATTCTGAGACTTAGACTGTGGAGCAGCCACTTTCTTCAGTGTGGACAGTTGCCACAGTGGAGAGAAAGTGAGCCCAACAAATCATGATCTGACCATTAAAGCTTCCGCTTGGAGTTAGTGCAAGTCACATGCCTCATTGCTCTGGCCAAAGCAAGTGAAGTGGTCACTACTAACCCCACAGGTCAGAGAAGTACAGTCCTTCCTGCTGGGCCCTTGCCTGGGAGGAGAACTGGAAATATTTGTGAGCAATGCTGATGAGGGCCACATACTCCACCTGAGTGCTTGCTCATGATAGTCCGGACTCTTTAAGATGATGTCACCGGATTCTCATTCAAACCAAAAAATCATACCAGGTAGGGTCTGTGTGGTTGCAACTTGACAGATGGGAAGACGAAGGCTCAGGGGAGTTAGTGACTTGCCCAGGGGGTGAGAGGGGGAGCTGTACCAAGCTGCGGGGTTCAGATGCCTGAGCACTTAGCCTCTCCACTCTGCTGCCATCCTCCCTGCCCCCATGCCATGTGGTCAGGGATGAACCCTGTGAGTCTGTGAGACCTTATAGTCTGAGGTAGCAAGGCAGGGTTTGGAACCTGAGTTCCTGGGCTCCAAACCCGCTTTGCCACTCTCCGGCTGAGTCCCTTTCATTAGCTGCTTTCCTTCCCTGCCGTGTTCTCCTTCCTCTTGGACGTGGGGGTAACAACTCCTGCCTCACTGGGGTATTTAAGGATTAGGTGAGAAATCAACTCTGAAAGGAGCTTTGCAAACCAAAAGGCTCAGGGAAATTTTAGTTGCTGTAATTGGCGTTCAAACTAAACCACTAGGGGAGACTTCCGGGAGGAGCTCGGTGTGCGTGGGCCATGGGGATGGGGAGGGTTTGCAGAGGTGAGGGAGAGCTGGAGAGGAAAACTGGCTGCAGGGGGAGGTCTGCAGCAGGGTTTCCCAACCTTGGTACCATTGACACTGTGCGCTGGATCATTCTCTGTTGTGAGGCCGCTCTGTGCATTGCAAGATGTTAAGTAGCATCCCTGGCCTCTACCTACTAGATGCCAGTAGCACCCCTCCCACCCTGTTGTGACCATCAAAAAATATCTCCAGACATTGCCAAATGTCCTCTGGGGGCCAAAATTGGTCCAGAGTGAGGCCAGGTTGGACAGGGCCATGGGGGACCTTGGCTGGGCAGTAGTATAGTACTGGTTAGAGTGACTCAGCCCTCACCAGGACCCCATGAGTCCCCAAGACCTACCTAGAGGCACGTGGCCCGGCTCAGGGTGTACTGCATGGTCAAGAGCAGGCATACCTGTGATCAGGGCTACAATCAATGGACCCTGATAGAATGAGAGAAAAATGTGGAATATAACTTCACATTCCTTAAAAAAACAACAACAGACTTGTTAGACCGGTTGAGACTGGAGGACTCTTTGAGACTACTATCCCGAGATACTCTTCAAACCTTGAACCAAAACTAGCCCCTGAGGTCACCTTTTAGCTAAATAACATGTTAACTCACAAAGAACATTATCTGGGAGTACTGCGCACCTTTAAACAATCATCTATAAGAGATCAACGGGTCAACAATTACTTTAAAACAAAGATGAGAATGTAAGGGGCTAGAGAAACTAGATTAATGAAAACAGAGCAACCAGAATGGAAATTTGAGAATGTTTACGTGTTGTGAAGAGTGTAACCAATGTCTCTGAACAATTTGTAAAGAAATTGTTGAATGGGAACCTAAACTGCTGTGTAAACCTTCACCAAAAAAGCAATAAAATACTATTTTTAAAAAAAGAGCAAGCATGCCTGCTACTGGCTGCGGCCATGGCATCTGATGCTTGCCTTCCTACAGGTCCCAGTGTCTAACCACCGCAGCCCCCTGCTCGACCTGGCCGCCTACGACCAACAGGGCCGCAGATTCGACAACTTCAGCTCTCTGAGCATCCAGTGGGAGTCTACCAGGCCACTGCTGGCCAGCATCGAGCTCAACCTGCCCATGCAGCTAGTGTCCCAGGATGATGGGAGTGGCCAGAAGAAGCTGCACGGTGAGCTGGGCTGGTGAGCTTGGGTGGCCCAAGGAGGAGGAAAAGGAGAGTAGTAAGAATCCTAAGCAAACGAAAAGCGTGCTGAGCAGACTGGTGTCAGCCAGGTGTATGGGGGGTGGTTAGTAATTTAGCAGTACCTTTATCCAGAACTAAAAGTTGCGAGTCCCACAAGCTCACCGTTCTTATTGAATCCAGCACGTAAATGGTGTGAGATAGGAATTGGAATTCCTATTAGGGATGGGGGAGCTGAGGCCTGGGATACCTACCAGGTAAGTATCCAATCCCAGATTCCAGAGCAGATCTGCCTGCCTCCAATACCTGGGCTACTTTATGCCATGCCACCTTGAGCAGCCCAGAGTTGAGTCCATCACTCATCTAAGCTCCTTGGAGGTTTGCTCAGGGTCTGTGAACTATTATGGTACAGACAGTCTAAACAAACTCTATTCTTAGAACTGTGAAGGAGGGAAGGGCTGCTTCAAAGGCAGCATTGAGGCAGAAATCAAGCACCAGTTTCTCCACCTGGACTCAGGTTTGCAGGCCATCTCGGTGCATGAGGCTTCGGGAACTACAGCTATCTCTGCCACCGCAACAGGCTATCAGCAGTCTCACCTCAGCGCAGCCAGAGTGAAGCAACCGGTATCTCCTGGGCCCACCGGTGGGGGGTGTCGTCTTGCTTCTGCTCAAATTCTGCCCCGTATCCAAGGGTCCTGAGCCTCCTCACTGGCCCACAGCCCTCCGTTCATCACTGTGCTCCTACCCTCTACCTCTCACTGGGGGGAGCTCTGAGTGTGAGTGGGGCGTGGGCTCACTTGAATTTAGGGCCTCCTCCCAGGCTTCTGGGTGCCCCTACACTATGTTCCTTCCACTCATACTTTGGGAGTGATCCATGGCACAAACCTATCTGGCACCTCTCGGCTTTAGCCCACACCTTTGGTGGCCCTCAGGACCTTCAGGATGAACGTGTCCTCATTCTCAGCCAAGGCTTGCCTACCCATCTCTGCCCCCACACCCCGCCTCACAGACCCCACCCAGTGTGCCAGGACTTCACGCTGCCAAGCCTTTGAACATGATGTTCCCTTCACCTGGAATGCTATCCCCTGCCCTCTTGTAACTTTTCTCCACTGGTAACCCCTTGACGTTTTTAGTCCCAGCTAAAATATTGGCTTCTCTGGGGAGCATTCCCTGAGCCCTGGGACAGAGGAGCTGCTTCTGCCGAAGACCTCTGAGTTCCTTGTGCTTCCCGCCCTCATGACGCGGAAACCACCCCCACCACCACCCACACACTGTTGCACCCAGCTATGTGCACATATGGCCTTCCTCACTGGGCCGCCTCCTTGCCCTACCGTTGGTACTCCACAACGGCAACTAGCACAGTGTCTGGCCAAACCACTGGCAGCGTAGCCTAGCCAAGTTGACACATTAAAATCAGCTGTCACCAGGACAGGTGTGAGAATCACTCTTCATCCCTAGCACAATGCGTGGGGCCTCACAGCATGATAACCTCTGGTGAGCGTGGAGGAGGCAGTCGCTCACTCAGCCTTGGTGGGATCCAGGGACGCCTCCAAGAGGAAGTGCTGGTTTAATTGGGCTCAGAAGCACGATGACTTTATTGGGATTGGTGTCCAGGAAATAACAGTGGCCTGAGGTGAGGCCAGGACACGAGACTTGTAGTCCTGCTGTCTCCACGGGGGTCCTGTAGGGTGGCCCAGTACTGGGCCCTGGCTGCCTAGGTCTGATGGCTTTGTCTCTGCAGTATGATCCTCTTGTGCCCGTGTCGGCCTCCATTGAGCTGATTCTGGTGGAAGATGTGAGAGTGAGTCCAGAGGAAGTGACCATCTACAACCACCCTGGAGTCCAGGTAGAGCCTTTCCCTGCCCCACACTGCCCGGGTGGCCACGTGTGACCTCAAGCCTGAGCCCCTCCCGCATCTTCCTCCTCACAGGTGGAGCTCCACATCAGAGAAGGCTCTGGCTACTTCTTCCTCAACACCAGTGTCGCAGACATCGTCAGGGTGACCTACCAGGAGGCCAGAGGCATCGCCACGGTGAGGGCAGGCGATTATTCTCACTCCTCATGTGGGCCATTCGGGGGTTAATGGAGTAATTATTTCAAAAGCTGGCACTTAATAACCTAAACTGTAATTAGCAAGGTCTTAGAATTGTCTGGAGTTCCTGGGTGGTGCAGTGGTTAATGGGCTACGCTCAGCATGCAGTCACATAGATGCATATATGTATGCATACACCTATATATACATACATACATACCTATACGTATATATGCCTACATACATACGTGCATACCTGCACATGTGTTTTTTGGTTGTTTTTGCTGTCGTTTCAAAATTCTATATGCCATAGCAATTACCGACAGTCCTTTTTTCTTGTGTACTTTTTGGTGACATTTTGGTTTACCTTTGTCAAGCTGTATACCTTCATTTGGTGTTACCTTTCCCATCACCAGAAATAACAAGCATCTACTCTGTAGAGTGAATCCCCCTCTCCCCTCTCAATCAATCTTTTAATTAAGATTAAAATATTATTTTATCAACAGTGTCACAACCATCATAAAGAAAATTGTTTTTTAAAGATGTATCACTTTTTCCTACTTTTCCATGATTCTTTCTTGACCCTCTCCCTATTCTTGAAAACGTTGACTTAGCTGTGGCTATGGTATGGAAGGATTTAGCATTCTGTTCTTTTATCAATTATTGTATCCCAAATTATTTTTCCCACGTTGTTGTGTAGGCTGATCAGTTTTAGTGACTGTGGTCACTTGTACTTAGCCATTTTCTTCTTGTAAAGCGTTTGGCTTCTCCAAATTTTTAAAAAAATTTTTTTGGAACAGTCCTATAGTTATATCAAAGAAAAAAAAACAATGTCTGAAATGTCCAGGAATCTGCATGATGGGTTATTATGCAATCATGAAAAATAACTCAGTTTCAGAGGAGACTCTCACCACTGTATGTGTAAAACTGCTATCATGAGTTGTAAATTCAGGCAGCCAAAAACACCTGTGACCCTGGCCCCGAGCTGTGTTGGGAAGTGTCAGCTGTGCTGTTGCCTCTGGACTCCTCTGAACCTAAGCCCTGCCTTGCCTTTGTCAAAGGGGTGGTTACCAAGTGTTTGAGGCATGCCACAGTCATTCCAGCACCAAACCAGGCTTTCTGTAGACTTTTCAGAGGCCTGGTGTGATTGAGTACTTGGCGTGAGGAAGAGATTTAGATGGAGCAGCGAGTGAGCACCGAGAGACCTCACTCTGACCGCGGGCCCCCTCCAGGCTGAGCCCCACCTTGGCTTTGGACGTTGCCTTATTCATGCCGATGTGCCCTCATGAGTTAAACAACCGCAGTAAACAACCTCCCTGATTTTAGAGAAGGCTAAGCTTGGATCTGACCTCTGCAGTGACATAGTCCCAAAGTCGCCTCTCAGAAGTAAAGCCAGGGAGCTGCCTGTGGTTGTGCAGTGAGTTCATGGCATAACCAGAAAGCAAGCCCGTGTCCCTTCACTCTCAGTGCAGGGTTTTTTCAGCCATAACTACCTGAAGTTCCATCTTGCTGATTTTTTTGCACCCACTGACTGTCTTAACACAGGGTCACCAAAACAAATGTCCCACCTCTGGTGTAAAGTGAGTGAGTAAAGTGAGCAGGGCGTGAGGAACGTACCTGAAAGTGCCGTGCTCAATAGCACCTGATGCTTTGCTTCAGTGATGGGGGATAACAGGGAGTGGTGGGGACTGTGGCAAACTGGACGGCACATGCCATGTCTAAGGGGCAGTGCTAGGCACTGCTAGTTGATTTTATTGTTGGTATTGCTGTTTTTATAACAGCCTCTCAAAGACGTAATTTACATATTATACATTTCACCCATTTAAAATGTACGATTCAGTGGTTTTTAGTGTATTCACAGTTATGTGCAACCATCACCACAATCAATTTTAAAACATTTTCAACACCTCAGAAAGAAACCTCATACACTTTAGCTATCACCCATCTACCTCCCAACCCCACCCCCCCACCCTAAGGAATCACTTAAAGTAGTTCTTTATGAAGACTTTCTGTGTTTATATTTGTCTATTCTGGATATTTCATAAATGAACAGAATCATATAATATGTGGTCTTTTGCATGTGGCTTCTTTCACTCAGTATAGTATTTTCAAGGTTCATCCATGTTGTAGCATTTATCAGTATTTCATTCCTTTTTATGGTTGAATAATATACCATTATATGCATATACCACATTTTGTTTATCCATTGATCAGTTGATGGCCATTTAGGTTTTTTCCATCTTTTGACTATTAAGAATAATGTTGCTATAAACATTCATGTATAAGTTTTTATGTGAACATGTTTTCAGCTCTCTTGGGTATATACCTAGGAGTGGAATTGCTGGATCATATGGTAACTCAATGTCTAATTGTCTGAGGAATTGCCAGACTCTTTTCCAAAATGGCCGAACCATTTTACATTCCCACCAGCAGCGTATGAGGGTTCCAATTTCTCTGCATCCTCAAAAACATTTATACATCCTGACTTTTTGATTATAGCCATTCTGGTAGGTATGAAGTAGTATCTCACTGTGATTTTGATTTGCACTTCGTGGATAACTAATGATGTTGAGTGTCTTTTCCTGTGCTTATTGGCCATTTGTTATCTTCCTTGGAGAATTGTCTATTCAGATCCTTTGCTTAATTTTTAATTGAGTTATTTGGTTTTTTTTAATTGTCGAGTTGAAAAAGTTCTTTATATAATCCCGATTCAATTCCTTGTCAGATAAATGATTTGAAAATATTTTCTCCTATTCTGTGTGTTGTCTCTTCATTTTCTTGATGGTGTCCTTTGAAACACAGAAGTTTTTAATTCTGATGAAGTCCAACTTACATATTTCTTTTGTTGCTCATGCTTTTGGTGTTATATCTACGAATCCTTTGCCAAATCCAGGGTCATTCGTGTTGTTGTTGTCAGCTGCCGTTGAGTCTATTCTGACTCATAGCAACCCCATATGACAGATACAACTGCCCCATAGGGGTTTCTTGGCTGTAATTGTTACAGAAGTGCATTGCCAGGTCTTTCTCCTGTGAAGCTGCTGGGTGGTTCAAACTGTCAGTGTTTTGGTTAGCAGTCGAATGCTTAACTATTTGCACCACCAGGGTTCCTTAAGGTCATATGTATTTACCCTTATGTTATTTACTTGTATGTCTTATTCTAAGAGTTTTATGGCTTTAGCTCTTACATTTGGATCGTTGATCCATTTTGAGATAATTTTTATATATGGTGTGAGGTAAGGATCCTGTTTCATTCTTTTGTGTGTCACTATCCACTGTCCCAGGAATCCTGGTAGTGCAGTGGTTAAAGTGCTTGGCAGCTAACTAAAAGGTTGGTGGTTCAAATCCACCAGCCGCTCTGAGGGAGAAAGATGTGGCAATCTGCTTCTGTAAAGATTATAGCCTTGGAAACCCTATGGGGCAGTTCTACTCTGTCCTACTGTGTTGCTATGAATCAGAATCGACTCAACGGCACTGGGTTTACTTTGGTTTTTGGTATCCATTGTCCCAGTACCATTTCTTGAAAAGACTGTTCTTTCCCCCGTTGAATTGTCTTTTCACCGTTGTTGAAAATCTGTTGCCCATAGATGTATGGGTTTATTTTTGGATTCTCAATTCTATTTCATTGATTTTATGTCTGTCCTTATGCTAGTAACACACTTGTCTTGATTACTATAGATTTTAGTGTGTTTTGAAACCTGGTAGTATGAGTCCTCCAACTTTGTTCTTTTTTTTTCCCCCAAGATTATTTCGGCTAACCTGGGTCCCTTGCAATTCCACATGAATTCTGGGATCGATTTATCAATTTCTAAAAAAAGCCATCTGGAATTCTGATAGGGATTGCATTGAACCTGTAGATGAATTGGGTAGTATTGCCATTTTAGGAGTCCCTAGGTTGAGCCCTGGTGGCACAGTGATTAAGAGCCCAGGCTGCTAACCAAAAGGTTGGCAGTTCAAATCCACCAGCCACTCCTTGGAAATTCTATGGGGGTAGTTCTGCTCTGTCCTATAGGGTCACTATAAGTCAGAATCGGCTTGACAGCAACAGGTGTAGGTGGCCCAAAGGGTTAGGCACATGACTACTAACCGATAGGCCCTTCAGAAGACAGACCTGGTGATCTGCTTCTGAAAGATCACAGCCTTGAAAACCCTATGGAGCACATGTACACACATGGAGTTGCCATGAGTCGGGAGCAACTCGATTGCAGCTAACAACAACATTGCCATTTTAACAATATTAAGTCTTGTGATCCATAAACATAGCATATTTTCCATTTGTTAGATATTCTTTCATTACACTCGATAATACTTTGTAATTTTCAGAGTATAAGTATTGCGATTCTTTTTTTAAATTTATTCCTAAATATTTCATTCTTTTTGATGCTATTGTAAATGAGATTTTTTTTTCTTAACTTCATTTTTGGATTCTTCATTGCCAGTGTATATAAATACAATTGATTTTTGTATATTGACCTTGTATCTTACAACCTTGCGGATCTTCCATATTAGTGCTAATAGTTTTTATGTGGATTTCTTAGGATTTTTTATGTATATGAGACCATGTCATCTGCAAATGGAGATAGTTTTACTTCTTCCTTTCTAATCTGGTTGCCTTTTATTTCTTTTTCTTGAACGCTTGTCCTTACTTGAACCTCTAGTACAGTGTTGGATAGGAGTGGTGAGAAAGGACATCCTAGTCTTCTCCCTAATCTTCTGGGAAAAGCGTACAGTCTTTCACCATAAAGTATGATGTTAACTGTATCTATTGAGATAATCACGTGGTTTTGTTGTTTGTTCTACTACTATGGTGTATTGTGTTAGTTGGTTTCTGGGTGTTAAACTAGCCTTGCCTTCCTTTGATAAGTAACACTTGGTCTTAGTGTATCATTCTTTTTTTATGTTGCTGGATTTGGTTTGCTAGCTTTTTTTTTTTTAAGGATTTTTGCATCCATAATAGATCATTGGTGTGTGAAGTAGTATCACATTGTGATTTTGATTTTCAT